TATATAAGAGAAATTATCTATTTATTTTAAGAGTAAGTCTACATTAAATTTTACCAGTTGAATTTAAAATTTTTAATACATAGATCAAATTTGCAATTTTTTTAAAAATTTGAAGACCATTTAATACTTCAATGCGAGTTATTTTTTAATTTGCATGATAAAGTATAATTTACTCAATATTATTGAAATTAAAATTTTGAAATATATACAATGTTACAAAGAGGAGAATAAATGAATTATTTTATGTTAAAGGGACAATTGACATACACTAACGCATAAGTCGTAAGCTTATAAATCTATAATAAAAAAAGATAATTATATAAAAGAATATTTTAAATATTTCTTATATCAAATTTGATTTATTCTAAATAATTGACTCATAAAATAATAAACTAAAATAGTTATGATAATAATTTATAAATTAAAAAGATACTCATTGTACATGAGGTGATCTCATAAATACTTGGTGTTTCATTTGGGATAACTTTTGTCTGACTTTCTTGGGCGAGATCCTTATCTCTGCTATGTTTGGTGATATATCTCTGTCGATGGGTGAGGTACCTATAAAAGAGACTCTGATACTTAAGTTAGTATCTGATGACGAAGATGTCCCTTATTTATAATGCACATACCATTTTAGATATGAGGTCATCTTATCTGTAGGTGTTACGATCTTCGTGGTATAGACATCGTAACCGTACCTTATATTCGTTGACTAGGTTTTTAGGTGACATGGCTTTACTTGACTGATGTGGTGTATCGGTGTTGCCACCATGTCATCCAACTCATAGTGTCAATGTCTTCTATTCTTGACCGAGCTCATTAACTTGATCGGGTTGGTACACTAGGTATATATATAATGTCACAAAAAATGAATATATGAAATTATTTTATATTAAATAGACAATTTATGTTTATTGACAATAAACATGATGAAAGAGATAATTTTAATCAAATTATATATATATATATATTGATTTTTTCTTATATTATATAAATAAATAAATAAATTGATTTAATAGATTTTTTTATAAATCTAAATTCAACCTTTTCAAATAAATATATTTTTTAAAAAAATTAAATTTTACATTTTTATTAAATAGTTGATATCAGAATCACCTCATAAATTCTTGCTCAAGTTCTCACCTATTTCGCCTATTTAAAATGTTGACATATATGGATAGATTAACTTTAATTTTTGGTACATATAAATTAGAGATATTTTGGGTTATTCTAGATAACCAGTTACCGAACAAGTTGAAAGGATGCTTGGGTTTAAAGGCGTTGCTAACGTGGTGGTGCGTTAGCGGATATAGAATAAGAAAACTTTTTTATTCTATTAATAAAAGAGAACTATTTTTTTTTTTATTTTGTTGGGATTGATCATGCAATTAAGTGACACCTGGACCAACAAGGACCAGAATCTTGGTCCAGCCAAGCCAACCATAATCATGTCTTCTGTCTTTTGCCCCCAATCACCAACCCTCCACCCTTTCCTATTTTGTTAATCAATTATACAGATAACAGATATAATAAATAATTCATAAAAATTAATCATTTATTTTTTAAAAATAAATTTAAGATAAATAAATATTATAGCAACTAGTAAGAAAAAAAATGTGTCTTTGTGGGAATGTAAGTTTTTTTTTTTTGTTTTTTAAGTTAAATAATAGTTACTCTTTTATAATTATCAACTAATGAGGTTTATAATAGGCTTAAATATGTTTTTAGTCCCTCAAATTTAAGATAAATTTGTTTTTGGTCCCTCAAATTTAAAACTGTTGTTTTTAGTCTCTGTAATTTTTAAAAATCTTATTTTAGTCTCTTTTGTCATCAATAACATATTTAAAAATGGCTAATTAAGACAGTTATGCAATATCAACCGAATTTAATGTGATATTTTCACTAATAGCAACACTAATAGGTAAATTTTATGCAATAATGTTTGATAAATTTCTTAACAAAATTTGAATATAAAGACTAAAATAAGATTTTTTTGAAATTACAAGAACTAAAATTAACAATTTTAAATTTGAGGGACCAAAAACGTATTTACCCTAAATTTGAGGGACTAAAAATATATTTAAGTCTTTATAATATTTATGCACTTTACTCAATCAACTAAGTTAGATCTCTTAATAATACAAATTATTAGTTTACCTTATTTTTTTAATAAAATTTGACTTAACATATAATTTTTTCTTTTATATTTTTGTGAATTTCACACATGTGAACACAAGACACACAATAAAGTATTTTAAACACTTAATTGTGCATCTATATGAATTTTTTTTTTTCAATTCTAAGATAATAAAAACAGTCTCATATTTATTAGTTTTAAATATAAGTAAATTTCATTCTATTTATTATTTAATGTTATAATCTCCAAAATATTTTTTCATTTAATTGAAATTGTATTTTTATATTTCTCTTTTATTTTTTATATTAAGTTTTAAAAAATGATAGTTTAAGAAAATAAATTATTATTTTTAGATGAAATTGATAAAATTAAATTATATAAATAATTTTTCTTAATTAGTGTAAATTAGTGTTTTTTTTTCTTATATTTGTAACTGGAAATAATGTTTTGTAAAAGAAAATATATATCGATGGCTTTGTAAAAGAATATTTTGATTTATGGATAAATAAAAAAATCAGTGTTACGATCAGAAGAATATGAATACTTTTCTGATTAGGATTTTTTTTATAAAATTTTCTGATTAGGTGTGAAATTTGTACTGCGTAACTATAATAAAATAATGAAAATTATTTTAATTATACATATACAAAACCTTACCACTCAATGGCTTTAACTCATGTAATTGCCAAATGCTTTTAACACATTCATTTCAAATGTAATATTTTATTTTGAAATTTCTCGTTTCCTTTTTTATTTCAATTAAATACCAAAAACTATGATAATGAAAAAAAATATTCTTAAAATATATTTATCTATGATACTAACATATATACTTTTATAATACTATCAAACATAAATTATTTAGAATTTAAATTTTGATCTTATAAAATATAAACATTTTGATCCATGATTGTAAGACTTGTCTTATAATGTGAGGATTAATTTAATACTTTTATGTTTGATTTTTGTTTATATTAAAATATATTTAACTAACAAGAATTACATTTTTTTAGATGTAAATTAATTTTTATTGTGAATTTTAAAATATTAGATAAATCATATTTATGAAGAAAAAAAATTGATTTTTTTAATCCATAAAACAACAATTAATCGATTACATAAAAAGTATCATACTTTAATGGCATACTTTCCCTCTATTCTAGTTGCTTAACGAGAAAAACAATTAAACACTTTCAATAAATATGCTCTTATTGGAGATTAACATTTCATCTCTCAAATATTAAGTTTAATTTATTAAATCATAAAAAAAAAATCGATAAAGAGAGAAAAGAAAAATGATAGCAAGAAAATGTAAATCATGTTCCAGTTTGTAAAAGGGTGATGTTATATCATCTTATAAATTTACAAATACATCATTCATGTGAATTTAGACTCCCTTAAATATATTTTTGTATGTGGAAAACAAATGTAATTAAGTGAAAGTCTTTGTTAAAAATAATCAACTAAATTTTTTTAATAAAAATCAATTATCAACAAAATAATAAATATTTTTTTAATCTATAAAAATTATAATAACATTGACATAATTAGAATTTAGAATCTTACACGTATTATTCTAACTCCACAAAATTTATAACATGGTAAACCCAAATATAATTATAAGGATGATGTTATATTCTAATAATTTTCTTAATATTTTTAAATAATAAATAAGCATATTTAATGTTGTCAAAACTTAAAACATTTAATACTTTACCTATTTAATAAATAATAAAAAATCGTAATATTTTCAATTTTATTTTTTCTATTTAATGTGGTAGAGACATAAACATTTGGTTCTGATGGTATCTGGAACAATGTTGTCTTTTTGTTTTTTTGTTTTCCTAAAATAAGATGACACGTGTGAATTGAAGAAGAAAGAAGCATGAAGAAAAAGGAAGAGCATATGTTGAGGATAGCAAATGCAGACATTCATTGGGAAAAGAAGCTTTTGCTTTTGGACAGACAGACAGCCCTCATGGCGGTGCCGTCTCTTCAAAGAAGTAAACCGTAACAGCCAACCTTAGATTCTTTTTCAATTCCTATAATTTTTTTTATATTATTTTTCTTTATTTAATTTTTCCCATAATAATAATAATAATAATAATAATAAGAAGGTAGTAACAACTATGCACTGTACGCAAAACCCCTTCTTATATACATTTACCTTTTTCTCTGCAACTCAGCAATTTGTCCACAACCTTAAAATACTTAGTCCCCACTTGCGAATTTCACAATCATCATATTCCGAAAAAGGTTAAAGTTAAGAAAAAGAGAAAAAGCAAGAGAATTGGCACTTGATCTTCGCTGAAATGAAATGCTGAAGCTCTTTAGGGCCTATCAGTTTTTCTTTGCCTTCTTTCTCGTCATCTCTATCTTTGTATCCGTCTTCAGAGGTGGTAACTCTCGCACCCCATAAGATCGAACTCGCCAAAGTTTTCATTTTTCAAAGGTTTTTTACTCTTCTTCAATTCTAATTATGCCTTTTGGAGTTGTGGGTTTTGTTGGTGGGTCTTAATTCAGATCTGAGAGCAATTGCAATTGTGATTTAGTTAGATGTTGAAGCAGTTCGTGTTTTTTCAGCTTAATTATGATACCCATTATGTTTATCCTTGCTTATGATGAGAGAAAGTAGGGAGCATTGTGTAGTTATTTTGACTTCAAGGTTCACTGTCTCATGCCAGCATGTTCTGTTTTTTCCCCCTTCTGGGGTACAATTTCCCCCCCTTAGGTTAATTAGTACTCATTTAGCTTCTGATCATACAGATTGTGATTTTGGCTTATTTTGCTTCAATTCAATTTCTTTGTAATGACATTGAAATTGAGTCTTGTATTCTGAATTTTTGGCTTTGATTTCTCTGTTGCAGGGTAGTTCATATCATACTGTGACATGATGACATTTTTCATTTTGGACTGAGGTCAATTTACTGGAAGGTGATTTGATATTCTTACAAATTATGAGTGTCGTGATAACAGATTTTTGTATATTGTTTTTCAATCACCATCCATTTTACTGCAGATATTATATATGGGTTAACAGTCTGATGTGATATGATATGAAACCCCAATTTTTGCTTTACACTTGTTTAAAGACTAGTTGTTAACTAAAACTATGTGTGATACTGGTTTCTCAAAAATCTAAAGAGATACTCTACATTCTATAATGCTGTTCATACAATGACAACAACAACCAAGTTTTTCCCCACTGGATGAAGTCGGCTACATGGATCAAATAATGCTATAATGTTCTATTGTAAATTATATCTGCAGACAAATCATTGTCCTCCAAATTCTTCTTAATGGTTTCAACTATAGTTTTCTTGGTCTCCCCTCATGCTTCATAAAGGGAAAAAGTTGGTTGTCAATTGGATCTTCAATTGTTATTATTTATTATGTATTATTATCCTTTTTTTTGTCCTTATATTCGTAATTGTATGTCCCGAATCATTATTTTACCATATCCTTTTGTCGGAAAACCCACCAAAAGGCTTTGTTTGTTTCTCTCTATCAAAAGCTGGAAAACCGCTGAATTTAATTTAGTTGATATTAATTCTGTTGTCTGTTTGCTTCTGCTTCCGAAATATCTTTAACGTTTTATATGCTATTTAATTTTTAGATAGTTATCTCAAAAAAGATGGCAGCTGAGCTAGTCAATGTTGCGACAAGCGAGAAACTAGCTGAAACTGATTGGACAAAAAATATTGAAATCTGTGAGTTAGTTGCTCACGATAAAAGGTACCACAAAGCTTTCGTCTCCTTATTTGGTGTTGTTTCTTTCTTATTGAACAATGTCCTTATGCTTTGGGAAATGAATAGTTGATGCCAATAGTATGATTGTACTGCATGAAACTAAACTCATTTGATTTAGTTCATACATAACATTTTTATGTTTCAGATTTTGGCCATGGAACTTTGTAAATGTGCATTTCTTTTTATTTCCTTACTTTGGAATTGAACCCAGGATCTTTACCATTGACACTTGATTTATGCCAAGAAGATAATTGTGCTTATTATTGGAAGATAATCCTTATGAATGATCATTTTTCTTTGGTCTTGCAATTCAAATTATGTTCTTCACAGTTCTTGTTTGCCACTATCCCTGGCTTGGCTTTCTTCACTTGATTATATGAACATAGATGAATGTGTCAGATTGTCAGGATAATCCAGACAGTGTTGCTGTTTTTAACTATCATATCTTTTGAATATGCAGGCAAGCTAGAGATGCTGTTAAAGCTATAAAAAAGAAACTAGGAAGCAAACACCCCAATACTCAACTTTATGCTGTCATGGTGAGTATAATGATTTTATTATGAATTTAGTTTTTCATAATTTTTCATGTGAATTTCTGAAAGTTTTACCAATTCTGAAGAACTTATATAAAGACAGTTTGAAACCACAGTTTTCACTGTATCTGATACAGAGAAGCTTGATTATTTGACTTTCTTGTAATATTTACATTTCTTGCTTTCCTGATCTGTAGTGTTCTACTAAGTCATCTTTGATCTATTGTTTTTCTAGTTGCTGGAAATGTTGATGAACAATATTGGAGAGCATATTCATGAGCAAGTGATTGATACTGGAATTATTCCTATTCTAGTAAAAATTGTGAAGAAAAAGGTGAGTTTTCTCCACAAAGACTTTTCTTATTTAGCATTGTTAGTTTCTTAACTCACTTTTTTATTCTCTCTTGTTCTTTGGTTGCAGTCTGATTTGCCTGTGAGGGAGCGGATATTTCTCCTACTAGATGCCACACAAACATCCCTTGGTGGTGCATCTGGAAAGTTTCCACAGTATTATAATGCATATTATGATTTGGTGGTAGGTACAAATTTGTGACAAATCCCCTGGGACATTCTTATGGTTTGATCTGAGTTCATTTGATTACTAATAGGCTAGCAGTCATTTTTCAATAAGCAGAAATTGAAATTTAAAATTGGATTGCTTACTGGAAGGAGTATTTTTATGTTCATATTTGAACTGCATATATGGTGCTAAGTGCTTAGGGTAATTAATGACGGTCAAGTTATATGGTAGCTTCTAATATAGGTTTAGAGTGAATTTGTGAGGGTTAAAAGAAAAAGGAACTCTGTGCAACAGTGATATGCCCAAAGGGTCACAAGAGTACATGTTGGGCTTGTGGGTCGGGTTCAACCCAATGGGCCATGCCCAATGGCTTAAGTAGGGAAGGGCCTGCATCTGATGCAGGGTTACTTTTCCTGTTAGAGGGATGGAATGGTATGCCTAAAGGGTTGTGAGGGTGCATGTTAAGTCTATGAATCAAGTTCAACCCTGTGGTTCATGCCCATCCCCATAGCTTAAATAAGGAAGGTTCACATCTAATACAAACTGTTATATGTCAAGAGTTGTGCCTCAACTAACAATTTGGCATGGTGGTAAGCACTCTCGGTCATATCATTTGGTATCCAAGCAAAATCTAATTTGAATTCTAGGTTCAACATGTTTCCAATTATCTCAAAGCTAGAGGGTGAACTTTGATCAAGCTTAAAGTCAAGAGTTGCTAATAAAATTCTCTTTATTCGTCACCTAAATTATAGAAATCTATTATTTTCCTAGTCCCTTTGTGCATAATAATAATACAAGTGGTTGTTACGAAAAGAAAAAGGAAGGAAAAATAGTTGTTGGGGAATATATTTGTTTTTCCAATATTAGTCATTATATGCCCTCTGAATGCCACTAGTAAAGCTTAAGTCATGACATTGGATTTGTACATTTTACAGAGTGCTGGAGTGCAGTTTCCTCAAAGCGATCAGGTGGTCCAATCAAATCATCCTAGTTCACAACCTAGTAGGACTAGTAATGTACCAAACAGGGAGCAGGCCGCACCTAGACATGAAGTGGTCGCTCAGCAAGCAGACTCCCAGACTGTCCCTGAATCTAGGTGACTATTTGCTTTTAAGTTTTAGTGTACTCGTGATTGACAGGATCTTTAGAAATTCTTTTCTGGATAACACTATTCAAAATCATTTATCATGGTAAGATGATAGTTTCAAAATCTATTTTTGGGGTGACTTTTTTTCTTAATCTTTTTTTTTTTGATAAAGTCATTCTGAAAATATTTGTTCAAATCTTCATTTTCATCTACTTATATTTTGCAGCATTATTCAAAAGGCTAGCAATGCATTAGAAGTACTAAAAGAGGTCCTTGATGCTGTTGATGCTCAAAATCCTCAGGTGACTACTGCGAGTCTGTTGTAGAATCTGTAAATAATTACATTCTAACTTTTGCTTTATAAATGTTTTCTTTTCTAGGGAGCAAGGGATGAATTCACCCTTGATCTTGTAGAACAATGTTCCTTTCAAAAGCAAAGGGTTATGCATCTTGTTATGGCTTCTAGGTAAGGCTACTTCAAATTTCTCTTTACTTAAATTTTTCTGTACAATTTCCTTCTTTATCCTTTGTGGACCTGAGATGGTTCAGAGGATGGATGTAAATGCCTTTGCTTCTAGTCTGTTGGTAGCTCTAAGAATTTTCCTTTGATACTCGTCTTATGCAAATTAGCAAGCCCCCAAAACAAAACTATGTTGGATTATTTAATAATATATACAGTAGAGTTTTGGTGTTAATCTGTTAGACACGCAATATGATACACATTCAAGGAGGCCAAGGCCGGAAAAATGGATACAGCAGCTGATAGTTAGATAGAATCTAATTAACTTAAATCCAATTCTGATACAATTAGATAGGGTCTGTTCAGATTTGCTTCTGTTATTTAGTCTCACTCATTCCTTTATTCAGTTTTTTTTTTTTTTTTTTAGATTGGATTTATTTCTGTTAAGATTTAGTTTCCTTGTTTGGTGTTTGCCTCTTCCATAAAAGAGGGTGAATTCAAGTATTGGATAACAAGAACTATTTGAGTATTTGAAACTTGAGATTCACTGGTCTCTTAAAGCACCAGCAGCGTGGTATGATCCTTGTAGCTTCTACCATGATCCCAAGAAAAGCATAAATTTTGGTTGTGTTGCTTTTTGTTTTCTAAGATGAATTGAAAGCTATGGGAAAACCACAAAGATTCACTCATGATAAGAACATTTCAAGTATTTTGAACAAACAAGTTAACAAAGGGTTATTCAGAAATCAGTAGTTGAACACATTCAACAAGTTGAGTAATTAATTATTCCTAATCTGGATTTACTTTCAGAATGAAATCTTCTCTTGTAATTTTCCCTAATATTAATGTATTTGCAGTTTTGCACATGTACAACATGACAATGCATCTATTTATTATTATATGGTTAATTTTTTCCTTAAACTGGTTTTGCATTGGTCTTTTGCAGAGATGAAAGGATAGTTTCTCGAGCAATTGAATTGAATGAGCAACTTCAGAAAGTTCTTGCAAGACATGATGACCTTCTTGCTGGCAGAGCTACAACAACTGCCCCTCGATTTGATCACGAAGAAGCTGAGGAGGAAGAGGAACCTGAACAGTTAGTTCGAAGGTGACTCGCCTGTTCTTGTAATTCAATTTATTTCCTTTCTTGTAATGAAGGATAACTGAATTTTCAATAATATTTCATCTTTCTATGACTAATGCCTGCAGATTGCGCAAGGGAAAGGCCTGTGCAAGGCCTGAAGATGAGGAGACTGAAACCACCGACATTCATCGCATGGGTTTGCTTGGAGAGAGGCTCAATCGTCCACTGATACGACCGCTCTCGTTAGAGCCGCCATCTCGAGAAGCCGATACTCGATCTCCACCTGTTGTGGTGCCACCGCCACGACCGAAGCAGAATGGGGAGGTTCCTCATGTAGCAATTCCACCACCACCTGCAAAGCACATGGAGAGGGAGAGGTTTTTTCAGGAAAACAAGGATGGTTCTAATTTGCCCGGCCACATGAGAGGCCTATCCTTGCATAGTCGTAATGGCAGCAGCTCTCACAGTGGAAGCTTTGATTTTAGTGACTGATCTCTTGTCAAACAGAACAGGACCTATTTTAGCTTTTCTTTTTCATTTTTGTCTAAATTTGGAGTTGGTATTATTCAAGTTGTGAGGGGGTGGTGATTTATCATTTAGTCTTGATGAGTATGGAGATGGGAGCAAAAAAAGGAAACCACATCTGCTTAAGTTTATAAATTACTTGTAATTATATTCTGTGAGATCATATGCCATGGCCTGAGGCTTGTAAGTTTCAGGTGCGAGTTTTATAACTGATAATGTTTTTTTCTTCCCCTAATTTCTAGAACCTACATATTTTCTTTGTACTCTAACCATTTTAAAACTTTAAAACACAACTTTTACTTGTTTGTGCGAGTCTCTGTTTTTTTAATAAATCATGCCACTTTCAGTTTCACAACGAAATCGAAATAGGTGTATGTAAATCATCACATTTGAATCAATAGTAGTCCAGTAGAAACCGTAACTCTTTCCTTATAAAAAATATAGAGCTTTCTGAAAATTGTAATTAAGTTATCAATTTATCATTGCAGTTTGCGAGGCACAAGCCTAGAGTTGACTCAAATAAGGCCATATCCGTTTTTCCAAAAAGGTTTTTGTTGACGAAATTACAAAATTTGCAGCAAAAAACTGTCGAATAAAAGTATGTTGCCTGACATATCTGAATAAGTACTTTTGTGGTTGCCGATTGGCATTCCTAGGACGGGCACACACAAATTGAACAAGAATTTTTGCATCTTTTATGAAATTCCTCTTTTTTACTGAAAATTATTGGCGTGAGAAATTTTATAGCTTAACCTTAAAATGGTCTGATTTGGTAAAAGAGAATTATACTTCCTATAATTAAAAAAGAAAAAAGAAAGAAAAAAAACTTTATAGTTTTTGACCAACACTATAATAAAATTGCCAGCATCTCCTTATGTTCATACTCCACATAGAACTTGCTATTGTCTTAAGTGCTCTTCAGCTACAACAGCCTAGTAGCTTTCCAACTCACGCAAACCAATCAACGAAGCTTTCAAGTTTAAATGTATACAAAAACATTCTGTGTTGTTTACATGTTCTCTCCATTTTCCATCCACAAATACTGTGCTTAAGCTGCATTTCACAACTCCTGATTGCATGCCTTGGATTTGAGCAGCATATGATGCTAACATTATGCATATACAAGAAAAACTAAATGGATTTTATATTTATACACTATCAAGTCTTTTACACTGATCTAGTCATGCATTAATACATTGTAAAATCAGCATGACTATGGTAATAAAACTACTTGAAAACTTTATGCGTTAAGAACATGATTTGATTGTAGTATAAAAAGGCCATATACTGACAAATGGTCAAAACTGAACTCAACTAAAATCCTGTTATAGAGGGCATATGGTGATGATTCATTCACATTAGTGATGGCCATATTCCCAACTGGTGCAGAAGACCCTTATCTGCAGTGACTTCATAAAACAAAAGAAGAAGCACAGCCAGCATAGCTACTCTTCCATTCCATGTTTCAGCACTTTTTGTCCAACCCCATTCCCACACTATAACTGGTGGTGGCAACTCCCTGCGTTGTGAATCATATGCTGCCAATAACTCTTCTACACTGCCAAGCGGAACCAGAGACTGCCAAAAAGCCCAAACTTTCAATTAGATTACAGAGTAGATCATCAACGAATCTGTATAAAGGTTGTTAGAGATTTCACATCCACTAGTGATAAGGTCAAAGTAATATATATATATAAGTGGATGAAAATCCTAACCCATATTCTACCTGAAGTGACTGAAAAGTAAATGTCTGTTTCAATCACAATCCAAAAGAATACTGAATGAAATATTTAAACCTAGAATATAATAGTAATAAATAAAAATGATAACAAGTGTCTTATCTTATTCGGCTAGATCGGTTACATACATCATAGAACACCATTTGGTTCAGTTAAAAACCAAATACGCGGGAATCAGGATATTATTCACCATGAGAACCTTTTTAATAATATCCTCCAGTGTTCTTTTTAATCTTCCTTTACCTATTTTTACTGAACTAAAAGCTACGTGACCTACTCTCCTCACTGGTGCCTCCAGTAGCATTTACCCCTTTTCAAAAACCATGCCCATTTCCATCTAGAATATGAAAATATAAATTTATATAGGAATTAAAAAAAGTACCTGTCGAGCTTCAAGGTTTGATGAAGCTGCCATGGCACCAACATACGGGAGACTCTCAATAACAGCATCTGCCAAATCAGAAATGAAGGTAGGTTCGCATCCTAGAGCAGGAACACGGCCCCACTTTTCTATACCAGATTCTAGAGCCAATTCTTTGTATTCAACATCAATTTCTTCTAGAGTTTCAATATGCTCACTGACAAAACTGTGAATTAAGTACAAGTTAACAATGTGCACATGGAGAGAGATCAAGAAAGGAGGTGGAGATGATAGAAACAGATTGAGTAAGTAAAACTAGTACATTTACCTGATTGGAACAGCCAACAGACTTTTCACTCCCTTTTTTCCAAGTTCAACTATGGTCTCATCTGTATAGGGTCTTAACCATTCCACCGGTCCAACTCTACTCTGTAACATGAATTATAGTCAACTGTTAGAAATTCAGAAAAAGAAATGTCTAAAAGCAGTGTCCAGTTTTGGGGTACCAAGAGATGGTAGGTTTGAAGACAGATTAACTAATTGTGAAAATTTCCTCCCAAAGAGCTTTCTTTATGTTGGTGAACTTCATGAACTATATAGAATATTATTGCCTAGTGGATCACTAAATTGAGAGAATTTCAAATATGATATCATTGAGGAGTTTATACTAGCATTTTAATACAATATATATATATATATATATATAAGAGTTCTTAAAATCAGAACTCATTGAGAATCAATTACTGAAAAGACAAAAAGTAGTTACCTGATAAGCAAGGGTGTAGCTATTATTTATCTTTCTTGTCTCAAGTTCTTCCATGATCAAATCCACACATTCCTCCATCTCAGCCTTGTATGGATCACCAGCCTCTTCCACATAAGCAAGAGGCACCCCATGTGCACTAAAGAATATCATGACCTGCAAACAAAGAAACAAGTATCTCTTCTATTGGACTCAAGAAATAAACACACTGGTTTCTGAATAAAGGACAAAACATTGATGTAGTACCTTATGTGCTTTTAGTGTTTTTTTTTTTATTTATCAAAATTGAAAATTTACCTCAATAATCTATGCTGATTTTCATTGCGAATTTTTATTTGCAAATTACTAAGGTAAAACTCTAATTTTGATTAGGAGAACACTAAAAGTATATAATGAACTGTGTCTAAGTTGACCCTGAATAAAATATAGAAATAATCTGGTTTTTAGGGTAGATTTGAGTACAGCATTAATAAACGTATGGCCATAGGGTTTCCCCTTAACAAAGAGTTTCCTTCAAAACACCAGAAATAACAATGTGACACCTTAATTGTCTTTAACAAGTCTGTAACATAACTTATCTATCACTGTAACTGACACATCATAACTTATAACTCCTAATCCGAAATTAAAATAAAAATGCCTAATAACTTCCTAATACAGAACCATAACAGCTTAAATCAGATTTTGCCCTATCAAACTCCATTTCAGGAAATATACTTCTCAGCAGTGCGGCAGTGCTAAACAAAGATAAAAAGCAATAACTAGAATTCTTGACAGAGCAATTTCAATAAAAAAATATAGTACAATGACACTTCATAATCTCCCAAATAGCTTAAAGTTTAATGATGTACCTCCTCAGGACAGTCAAAACTCTTCAGCTCTTTTTCAATTAAATTTGCCATGGCCTTTATGTATCCTTCACGTTGATACCATGAAGGTATTACCGTATGTTGCATGTTGACTAAATACTCATCCTCACTGAAGAACCAATAGCAATTTACAATATAACAGTGTTAGACAGTTTATATTTTTTAAGTATAATAAATGAGATAATATTTTTATAATAATCACCGGAATATACTCTCCAGTAGACGTAGGCTAGAGCCACTGGTTGATATTGAAAATTGTGGATAAAGAGGAAGAACAACAAGCTTTGTAATTCCATCCCTTTTAATCTACACATTGTATTGTAAGGATGAATTAATTATAATTAGGTTTGCAATAAATCACAAAAAGATAAATGATAAATACAGTTGTAAAAGTTAAACTTTCGACCTCTGAATTATAGTATTCGTGAATTTTTTTTCTCATGATAATACAATTTCTTTCCTCGAGATTTTTTCAGAATATTACTGACATGTTTTGTTTTCATACATGCATTACTGCTTTAAACCAAATAGACAAATAGTAGTTCCTTTCTCTTATGACTTTGATATATTATATCATTAAGGTGTGAATCAATTCAAAGGAAGAAGATTCAAAAGTATAACCTGTTAATTGTTATATTGCATAACTTTGAATTTATAACACAGCAATCTTCAACAGTCGCAACAAGTACAAATTTTATACCTTTAGAATGACAATAATTTCAAAGGACCAGAGTTCAATATTTTTCCAATAAGCGCGTAAATGTGTGCTCTCACTAGGTAGAGTACAGTATAAACTATAAGGAGACTACAAAATATTTCAAGCTATGTACTGACAATCTTAAAATAAGTTTAGAACTTAGATATAAGTGTTATTGGCCAAGAAATATTTTCGCACGGATAGATGGCAGTGGCTACATGCAAACTGCCCAATAATGCATATCAAAGACAATGTAACAAAGATAAAAAGCAATATAACTGCCAAGTACATATTTTGAAATTTTGCAAGCTTTTAGAATGTGAAGTTTGAAAGTACATTCAGGTCATCGGACAATAACAGGGAAGAGAATACATTTAAACTCTATTTTAGTTAACGTTATGAACTACCTGTTCAATAGCTTCTTCAGTGAATGGATGCCAGTAACGCATGCCCACATATACTTTAGCTGGGACATTCTTTGCCCAAAGAGATTTCTTCAATTCTTCAGCCTGTGCAGGAGTTCATTAGATGAACTAGGACTACTAGGACAATAATAGAGTCAAACAAAAACACCTATTTAATGGAATGAATATGTTCTGTATAAGCAAAAAATTCAAAATTGCTATTTATAAAGATTTTAATATCATAAGCCCAAAATATGACATAAGTTGATTGTAAAATCTCAATGGTTGAAATAGTTGGACAAATATCAAGGAAAAGGTGACAATATAACATTGCACAAGCTACTGTCTTAGATTCCCCGCAGGAAAAAAACTGCACTAATATTTAACCACATCAAAATAGTTATACACTTGAAGCTGACTTCTTGAAACTTTTTCACAATTTTTTACCTATACCTTTGTGTTATTCTTTAACTTTGAAAAATCTAAATTTGAGAAAATTCACAAGAGACAAATTCCATATCTCTGGTACAAATACAAAACTCAGAAGTCAGAACAACCCACTCATTTACATAATGAGTTCAATTTCCGAAAGCTGAAATTTGAAATACCTTATACTTATTCACATATTTGATTGTAAAATGTTATAATGGAAATGAAGAAATTTAACAGGAAGTGTCATGCCTGTGCATCAGTCATCCGTCTGAGAGGAGAGCCACCACCAATTGAAGCATAGCCTTCTTTGCTCTTTGGCGCCCTTGCAACAGATACAAATTGGGCTAATGGTTTTTGAAGAAAACTAAATATCCTTGGCAACCGTATTATATCCTGTGTGATAGTACATAAAATATATTGTATATCAAACAATAATGAATTGATAGGTTTTGGTTAATCAGAAACTAAATGTATAGAAGGATATTGCATGACAGGTCAAATCCAAAGTGTATAAAACCTAGTGTGTTACCGGGTCAGCAAAAAGGTTAAACAAAAAAGGCTGCACATCTTCTAGAGTCTCTGGACCTCCAAGGTTTAACAGTAACACTGCAATCTTATCATCACCAATAAGAGTGGTATCAGAAACATCTTGAGCTGTTGGAGTTGCTAAAGATCCTACTGAGAACAACTGTTTCTTGAGTGATTGGTTTGGAGAACATCTGATTGATGTGTAACTTTTCAAGGGATTAGTGTTAAAAGATGCCTCCACATGAGCTCCAAAGCAGCTGTACTTCTTTTGCAAGGTAGAGGTTGTCTGTGGCAACAACCTATGAAAATTAAAATAAATAAAAAAATCATACACTTTGGGAAATTTTATTAATCTCGACATTTAGTAATAAAATATTTGACCCTAAGAAGGCACAATTTTGTATGAGGTGTCAGGTGTGTTGACCACACTCAAGTTTAGAAGGCACAGAAAAGTTGCACATTTAATTACGTTTATTTACTATTAATTACTCCTGAAACAAAATGAATCATTTTTACACATATAATTAACTAAGTATAAATAAATTCTTGGCACTATTAACCATTTGAGAAGCAAAGTTATTAGATATTTCAATAACCCCTTAATGCAATTAATCACATACTGGTAATTGGAAATTATATACAGTTACATTAATTTACTCTTGCCCAAATATAAAACAAAAAGTTAACAATATGTATACAAATATGGACACCGGGTTTAGAAATCCCGGATATACAATACTCATTTTCCAATATCCAAAAGCACAAAAGAGTGAGAATCATGGTAAATGGAACACTTACAGAGGACACTTGAGGTTGCTAGAAGCATGAGTGAGGCATGGAGGAGGACGAAGCATATAGGAGGAGGAGGAAGAAGAAGACGCTGATGAAGGGGTGTGAATTGGAGAGTTCATAGCTTAATAATAGTGATAAATCAACAGTGCCACCAATGTATGCTTGAAGCCTTTAGCAACAAAAACGAGGCTTGAAGGGAAAGTCCAATGCTATGAATAAGAAATACCCAGAAATCAATTTAGAAAAAAGATGATAACTTGACTTAACTCCGTTAATTTGGAGGAGAAGGAGATAGAACTAGGGCTAGGGTAGTTAGGTAAGATTCGAGAGAAGAGAAGTAGCTATTAACACTTATTTTCTTTTTCACTGGTTTAGAGGTAGAGGGAGGAATCAATGTTGACTGTTATTGTATTCGTATTCGTATTCGTATCCGTATCGTATTCGTATATAGTGGTCTTGAAGTTAAGGCTGAGGTTGAGACTGAGACATGACATGATAGGGATGAGGGAGGGGCAGGTGAGAGGGTCAAATGAATTCCGACCACTTCTTTTTCGTTTTCGTTCATCTAACTTCAACTTTAGTTATTTACTATTTTACTTTTTAAGCAAAATGTATTTTATATATAAACAAAAATTCTCAGATCATATTATACATGTCAACCGCAACTGACGATTTATAAAATGCCACGTTGATTGCGTCACAGAATCAGATTGTGAAATATAATTTTAAATGTTCCTGGTATTTTTTTTATTTTTTTACAAAACTTAGATGTGGATACTTTAAATGCTCGTGTTATTCACGAATCAGACTTAGAAATTTATTTTAATAATATAAATTTGTTTTTAATACAAACTTCAAGAATATATATATATATATAACTAGAGTTTAACTCAATAGTTAAACAAGGTATATCAATTAGAAATGATAAATAAATCTGTATACGTGAGTAATATCTGAATCTGTTTCAATTTTGATGGGGAATACTTAATTTGATCAGGTATAGGTAAAATCCGAAATATTAAATCAGAGACGGATATACACTTATCCACCCCATCATCGTCGTCGTTCCCATCCTCGATTTAATACTCGTCCCTTATTTGATTGTTTTAAAGAATTTTAATATTTAATTATATGTGATTGTTTATTATGATGTGAAATATTTGTGATTGTTTAATTATTAAGAAGTTTTGATTAAAATATGAGATAGACAAAAAACTCAATTACAATTATAATATAATAGAAAGATAAGTTAAAAATATTATGTGTGTTTTTTTTTTTTAAAAACTTAATTAATTTTTGACAAGTACGGGTAAAAATATACTCGATATCCTATAGAAACATAAATAAAACAAAAATTACATACACAAGGAGAGACAAGTATCATGAAACCTGTCCCGTCGTCCCATTCCCATGCCTAATATAAATGTTGTAAACCACATTATATCAAATTTGATTTCAATAAATAAATAAAAAATGTTAGTCTAAAAATATATGTCCATTGTCCATTAGCTAACATTGCTTGTACTTGTAGAGTTGATTTGGTGTGTATCTATCGAAAGAGGATCCCCTTCATTTCTTTTATTTTCATTTTTTATATATTTTTTAAACTTTTGAAAATAAATAAAATAAAAATTAGATACACTATAGAATAATTGTGTCTATTCATCATTTACCCTCGTAGATACATAGCAAAGCTCGCATCTCAATTTATTTTCATGAATATTCCCCTTCTGCATGCGTGATCAAGTCGTTAACCGCAAGTCAAGGAGAGAATGAAGCCCACAAATTAAAATTAATTAAAAGAGTTATTTGTTAGAACATATCGGTAGTGATTATTTATTTATGAGTTAATCACTTATAAACTATCAGTGTAAAGTTTTTTTATACTGGCAACCAATCATATCTTTTAATAGTGTCATGTCAGTTATTTATTTAATGAAATAATAATAAAATAAACAACTTTAAAAGATATGATTGATTATCAGTGTAAAAAACTTTACACTAACAATGTATGCATGATTAATTCTTTATTTATTTTTATAAAGAGGATACAATTTTTTTCACCAGATACTCTTATGTCAATATGAGTAAAATAGTATATTTAGTTGCAATAAATATTAAAAAAAATATTAATGATAATAGTCCTTCAACAAGCTCCAGTCTAAAGAGAAAAACATTAATGATAATAGTCCTAAGACAAAAAAAAAAAAAAAAAAAAAAA